CCCCAAAACCCCAAAACCCCAAAACCCCAAAACCCCAAAACCCCAAAACCCCAAAAATGCCGATTTCTTAATAAAATTAACCCCAAAAACACGAACAAGGATGGTTAAAGGAGTAATAATTGACGGTAAAAGGATCGATAAGGCTATTGAAAAGTCCAAAACCTCAGTCCCAGTGAGTAAGAGGAACATCTCCAAGAAGCAGTCAGACCAGATCCGTGCCAAGAAGACCAGCGAGAAGGTTAAGAAGAACCAGAAGAAACTCGATATGATGAAGGACCAGAAGAAAAAACAAAGAGAGCAGAGGAGGCAAAGGTTCATGCCAGATTCTAAGGAAGGGTCTAAACCTAAGAGAAAGAATAGTGACGGTAGGTACAGAGAGGTTATGGTATAGAGGAGGAAGATGAACATGCAGTTGAAGTGTTTGATGCTTCAACAGGACATCTTAATAGAGATGGGTACTATGATGCCCCCGAAACACATGAAGAGATTACTAAAGAAGATGAAGCTATTATTGAAAGACTCCAGCAAAAGAAACCAGAGCAAGAGGAAAATAAAAGTAATGAAATGACCTTGTATGATCTAATCATGAGGAAAATGAACCAAAACCAGGAGAAAGTTATGGAAAATTACGATATTGAAGAGCTTGAACAAGGAGTGGCTTCAACAATGAATAAGAAAGTGGTTCAAGTTTACAGAGGTGTAGGAACTGTCCTCCGTCATTACAGAAGTGGAAAAGTACCAAAAGCATTCAAAGTTATTCCACTATTGTCTAATTGGGAAAATGTAATGTTTTTGACCAAGCCTCATATGTGGTCTGCTCAAGCAATGTATGAAGCCACAAAAATATTTGCATCTAATTTTAATTCTCAGATGGCACAGAGATTTTATAATCTAGTTTTATTACCAGCAGTAAGAGCTAATATTGATGAATACAAAAAGCTGAATTATCATCTCTATATGGCTGTTAAGAAGGCTATTTTCAAGCCAAACGCTTTCTTTAAGGGATTCTTGCTCCCATTAGCACAAGATTGTAGTTCAAGAGAAGCTGCTATTATCGGAAGTATTCTCATCAAAGTATCCCTTCCAGTTCTACATGCTTCAGCTGCCTTATTAAAAATGAGTGAATATGACTACTCGATTGGAACAAGCTACTTTATCAAGGTTCTCCTTGGTAAAAACTATGCCATTCCTACTAGAGTCGTTGACGGTTTGATAGAATACTTCTATTCGTTCTCAGAAGAGGGTCTCGAAGAGTATGGCCAAGAAGAACTGAATCAGATGCCAGTTCTTTGGCATCAAAGTCTTCTCATCTTTGTTCAAAAATATAAAAGATACCTTTCTGAAGAACAAAAGAAAAAGTTAAAGGTTGTAATGAGAGTTAGATTCAACAAATCAATCACTCCTGAGATTAGAAGAGTTCTTTTCAACCTCAAAACTGCAGATGATATGCAAGATTAATCTATCTAAAATTTCTCATGAGTTTATAAAACACCCAATGGTTCATTTCTAAAGTTCAATAGTTATTAACTAAGTTGGGGTTTTGGGGTTTTGGGGTTTTGGGGTTTTGGGGTTTTGGGGTTTTGGGG